ATTATTTTCTGAATATTCAGTTTTCGTTTTTAGATAAGTCAAATAACATTCATCTTCAGTAGAATTTAATTCGGCCTCTAACCTATATATATGCATATGTATCAATGGGTTCTGTATCATTTAAATTCTCGACATGATAATATAATTTAAAGATTAAATAATAAACAACGTCAAATTATATATGAAAAATGGATATATGAAATTAAAAATTGTGACAGTATGCAATGTAGTATTACAATTGATTACATGAATGAGAAAAATATTTCGATTAGATTTAATACTAATTCATATGCAAGAAAAACTATAATGGAATAAAGACATAAAATTGTGATGAACAACAAGAGGATAATTTTTGATATTAAAGGGTGTGGGTGTGGGTGTGGGTGTAAGTGTAGAAATTGGTCATCTGTTCACTCGCATCCACATCCACACCCTAAGATAAAACAAGCGAAAAGAAAAAACTCCAGGGATGTACAGATCATTTTTCGACCCATTGTAGATTAAGATGCTTTGACAATCGTAATTGACAATTTACTAGACGAACAACATCCATACAATACAAAAAAAAATTGAAAAGTTTTTAAACCGCTCTCAAAGTACTGTTTCCGTTGCATGTCGTCTTGTAGTTTGTGGATTGATTTTTGTGACAGTCATCAACATGGACATATTAGACTGAGATACTTGCCATTGTGGACGCAGACGATGAGGCAATAGTTTGATCAACGCTTTTATGAACGTTTGTCGAAATACATGTGATGTTATTATTGATAAATAAAATGATTTGACATAGTTCATATAAAAACAGTAGTTTGTAAGGGTATAGGCAAAATTAATAATAGCCAGTTGTTCAGAGGTCCTAGCACTGGCAGGCATATTATAATACATATACACAATCGCCCATGGTAATGAAATGAAAGCTGTTGCTATAACTTGTGTAAAAATCAAAGCAATGAATTGTTTTCGAGAGCGATCTGGCTGTGTCCGTGTTGTTCCACCCTAAAATAAATGATGATTATCTATTTCCAGCGAAAATTAATGAACTTACTACTCGTTGACGACTTTGACGAACATTCCGAAAAGTCAGCAAGACAAATACAAGCATTATCACTGGTTGCATGAGAACTTGGACCACAAAATACAAAATATTATTGATCAGTGGATATGTTGCTACACATCCTACAACACCTTTATACTCAAAAAGAATGAGTCCACGAAGTGAAGCGAGAAAACTCAAGATGATAATTATACCGATCAACCATGGTATCATTTTAAGTTTAGCAAGACGACGCATAGGTGATGCCAGTTTACATGTACAAGTATATCGATCAATAATAGACATCAACAAAAAATTAATTGACAAATGAGGAAGAAATGAAAGCAGAAAAATATTTAACTTGCACAGATTGGGCATCTTCCTCCACGGAATATATGTTCCATATCTTGCACTCAGATAGAGTGGCAATGTATTAAAACAAAGAACGGTAACATCCATGATAGAACTACAGAGTAAATATATGCAACATGTATTTGACCGAAGATTAACTTGAATAAATGTTAAAGCATTGCCGATGAAACCGATCAGACCAAAAATGAAGAATATTAATGGAAGATGACTCACAAATCGTTCCATCACAAGATTGAGAATAGTGATTGTGTATGTTACTTTTGTTGAAGTGACCATGATTGTTGTGCTGTTCAACGACATTTTAATGAATTAATGTTCAAAAAATGACTATGTAACACTTCTATATGAAATAGCTCTTTTATTTATAGTATATCATTTTTGCTTTTCTTCTTCTACAGTCGCTTAAGGCTTGGATAACTGTAAAATGAAGTAAAAATAAGAAAAATGGAACATCATGACGTAAATACATAATTGTGAGTTGTTATAATCTATGAAATTATTGTTTTAATAATTAATAAAATAGATTCTTTGATAAAATGAGTTTGATTTGAAAATAAAAATTAATAAAGCTTCACTATTCTTTTGAGAAAAACAAATCAAACTATTTCTTTTATATGTTAATAAAATTTAATCATATAGATACAGAATGAGGAGATTATTCTTAATAAAAATTTTTTATGCATAGCTAAAAATAATGGATATAGCTCAAAGATGCCCGATGACAGAAAAGATTGACACATTAAGAAAACTACATTAAAAGTCTATTTTATACAGCTATCAATTTGACAATAGTGTATTATAAAATTCTGTTTATCTAGCAATGATAACAAATCTAGATCAGTTTTCTCATTTCTTCTTTGAAAAAAGATAAAATATTACAAATAATAAAATAGTGCTGACTGCAACGATCAGTATTGAAACAAATTTACAACTAGTGATCTAGACAAATCAGATATGGAAAATTAGATATTCTGTTTTTTTTTTAAATCAAATTCGAAATTGTTTTTTTCAATAGCTTCAAGTACATTACTTTTGTTTTGACTAACATAAAAGATGTACTGTATATTAACAAATATATATGTAGAATAAACACATATCCATCTCCAAATCTTCAAAGGATATTTAATTAATTTTTTTAATTATACTTTGATATGACATTTTCACACGCTAAAGGTGACAAAAGTTGAGAATAGTCTTTGTAACAGATTATCATATAAGAACAAAATGACATGAGCAAGTAGATTATCTTGAGTAATTGATATTATAGAATCGTCTTTTTCATGAACGTAAAAGGCGAGAGAGAGAGAAACAGAAAAATGAAAAAACTACACCTACACTCACTCACACCCTTAATGATTCGATTTCTTATCGTTAAAACTCTCTTATTTTCTTTCTCTCTTATTCATTGTTCTCCTTTTTTCATCGCGGCTTCTGTATTGTATTGTGGAACTCACGTATGTTTTCGAAGAAAATAGTGAGTGTAAGTTTTCAGTTCGAGGTTGGCGGCTCCCCCCCCCCCCCCCCCCCCCCCACCCCATTACAGACACTTAGCAACGGGAAAGAGAACATTACAGACATACCCCCCCCCCCCTCCCATTACAGACAGCCCCCCATTAGAGACAACCCCCATTACAGACCTGAGCAACCGCGCATAGAAGGCTTTCGATTATATATAATATATCAATGCTTTCATAAATACTCGAGAAAAGGTATTTTGCAGTTTAAACATCGAGCATCAGGAAAACAAGTTTCAAAGATATACGTGAGTTCCATATTTCAGCTTCTCTGGAGCTGCGTTAACAAGCTTTTTTAATTTATTTCTACTCTACTGATCCTATTGTAACATGATTCATGTTTTGTTCTTTTCTATTTCTTACGAAACTAGTCATGATCTCGTAATCTAGAAGCGTGTGAGTGTGGGGTGTGGATATGGGTCCTTATTTCAATCATATCCACATCCACACTCTCAAGACTATCAACAAATAAAAATAAATATGATTTCGGCACCATAGTTTGTATGAAAGAAGTGATTTTGAATAAACCAATTTACTAATTACATGTGATTAAAATCAATATCTAAATATAAAACAAACTTGTACGAGAAAAAGAAATGCTTGCTATTTAGTCTAGTTAAAATTCCTTTCTTAGAATATGAGGACAAAAGAACGAATAGATTTTCAGATTCGATTTTAACAATGAGTATTTTGTTCGTTAATACATTATGATGACTAGATGATCATCAGTGTTTAATAATAAACATGCAATGATGACGACAACCATTTCGCCAGTAATCGTTCGATCAATAAGCGATGAATAACGGTAAATTTGTGAATTTAAGTTTTTCATTATAGCTGAAGGCTATTTTTCGAAAATAACAATTTTCTATAACGTTAGATTCAAAGATTTTTGCAATCAAGAAACTATTTAAAGTTTTTCCGTGAATCTGAAAACTTCGATCAAACTTTATATTTAAGCTATTTTTCTCAATCAAATGATGAACAACTTTATTTTTTTGAGTTAATCTCAAATGTTTCAAGAAAAAAATCAATATTTTTTTCTAAAATAAAACTTTCGTCATATTAAGATTTAATAAAGACTATGGGTGTCAACTAAAGTAGAACACACACATTCATCTAAAGAAAATTGTACTTTTATAATTATCTTCATATACCCATTTATTAATGATATCTGTATATATCCGAACGATCACTAAAACGCTATTTTTTGTTTTGCCTGTATCGAAATTATTGGTTGGTTTATTTCTATTGGTCAATGATAATCTTTGTTCACAAAGAAAGAGAACAAATTAAATTAGATTCATTTGAAAAACAGATGATCAAGATACCATTAGTTACTCGTCTCTTCTGGAACAATTGAGAAAAAAATTGTACACAATATACAAAAAAAGTAATGATAAAACATGATCCTTTGGTTTTAAGCAATTTAGATATTTAAGAATTTTTCTTTCAAATAAATTATTTGTACAATCGATCTCTCTGATTTTATGATGACGAGCAATATCTAACATTAACTGAGGCATCAATTATATGATTATAGAAATTCGATCAAAAAATGAGGAAAACTGTTTCGTGCACTTTGTCGAATAAAGCAGTGAGATAAATGCTCACTTTACTTAAATCAATTTCTTCTTGTTGACTAATAAGTTACATTAACGGTTGATCTGAATGAAAAAGTATGTGAACGGTGATCATGTAGAAAATACATCGAATGAAATATGTACAATATTTTTTGTGCGAAGAAGCCAGAAGATGAATTGAGTAGATTGATTTTAAATAAAACAAAATAATAACAATAACTCTTTCTATTACTAGAATAAATCATCCTGTTTTTGTCTTCACTCTAAGACTTTCTTTTAAACTGCATATAAAACAATATATTTTCTAAAATTGAATGTACAATATTTAAAAAAAGTAACATTTTAAGACTGTGACTGCTCTACTCTAGTTGATACTCACAACTCAAATAGAATCAAAACCTGTAATAGATAGTTTTTGTTTTGGACATAATAAGAACAGCAGATCAAATTGGTTTAAAACTTAGCAAATTTCTTGAATCAGTTTTTTGTCTTCTAGATATGCCTCAATTAGGACGATGTACTGATGAGACATGTACCAATGAAACAAAACAATTGTACGAATGTCACTGTTGTATTCGTTTCATTTGTCTACCTCATTTGATCGAACACGATGAAAAAGCAACAGTTAACAAACAACAATTACAAACATGTATCATTCAATTGACATCTGTCTTATCTACATTCGAAATGATAATCGAAGAACATATGCGTGTAATTGAACAACATAAAACACTATTGGAAAAAGGAAAGGCTGCACTTGCAACTGCATCTTCTGCTAATGAAATGCAGAATATTCTTGATCAAGTACAAACAACTATTGCAGCAAATCAAAATAGTAAAATTTCTAAATGAAAAATTTACGTCGAATTCTCTTTCTTTTTTGTAGATGAAGTGATAGTTAAAGTAGAATCAGCACTAATGGAAAACTATTCAGTTGTCGGTCAGTTCGATTTTGTTTTGATTATGTATGAACTTCGTTATTTTTTTTTGTCATTCAGCTAAGAATAATTCATGTCAATATTTATCAATTGATTCAACGTGTGAAAATTGTGAAAAAACATTTTTAGATGAGTCGACGCAGTGTAATGCTCAACAAGAATTACAGTAAGTCATTATTCTTTTTTCTTTATTCATTTCGTTAGTTGAATTTTTTAGATCATTCAATCTCAGTGAGTCGAGTTGTTTTGTTCACGATGCCGGTATGTATCTTCTATTTTGGATAGATCTTTCATTTTTTGGTCAATGCATTAGTCATTCTCTCTCGTTCTGTTTAGATGTTTCAGAAGAATCGACGACAATACAAACAAGTAAGTCTATATTCGTAGTTAATTCAATAGTGAGATTTTCTAATTTAATTCTTAAAGTTAACCAAAATTCAATGGATATCGACAATAGGTCCACACAAACGTATCTCTTCAAGTAAGTTTTTTTCCTAAATCTAACAAGAACATTGCATATCTTAAAAATATTTTATTCTTTATTTTTAGTCGACCAATAAATAATACAAAGGTAAAGCAAAAAGATGATAGACATCTTGATAATCGTGAATTATAAAGAGTCAGCATTAAAGAAAATAAATTATTTAGGATGAAACCAACGATGAAATGAAACACATACCAAACTCAACGGTAATTAATTATCGTGGATTATGTCCATTGACATTTGATGGAGCATTTGGTCTAACCAAAGCAAAACATTTAATTCGTCTATGCAACAGTCAAACGATTAGCCAAAGGATATTGTATTCTCATTTTGTACATATACATTCTATTGAAGCTAATTATGCTAAACGTTTAATCAAGGCTATTCAACAAGGTCAAGATCCAAAGATAACAAAATTGTTTAGTGATGATGAAGACATTTTCAATAAAAATGATAAATTGGTATGCCCATTCTATGATAGTACAACGAATCCATTCCGATGTCATCCGAAGCAAATACCAAATATACCGTGTTATTTTCGGTGGACGAATTTCCAATACTTCATTTCACATCTGATAACAGCACATCATCTTACTAAGACTGCGATTAAAAAAATAGTTGATGGTTACAAATCAGATCCAACGACGATCATATTCGGCAAGGATGAAAAAATTGTGCAAAAACACTATCTCAAAACATAATGAAAATGTTTCACGTTATATTTTTATGGCTGCTAATCAAAGCTCTTTTTTTTCATATTTGTTATTGTCATGTCTCTTAGCTGTTTTCCTCTCTCTTTGAAAATATATTTCATATGTACAAGTGGAATTAAATTCATATGCAGATAGACTGATCGTGTTTAATTTCTAATAGAGATCTAATGTTATATTGGAAATTTTTCAGCTTGCAGAAATAATCAATTAAGTAGCATTTCAATAACTAACTGAAGAGAAACTAAACCTAGCGATATTAACGACTATAATGTAATATTTTCAGGTCATTTGCAAAAGTAAACTTCTGATACACTTGTCTGTAAAGTAGTAGATAACAATGCTAATGAAAGATATTGTCTATGAAGAAAGTATTTTCGGTTTTGATTTTTTTATTCGAAACGTTTAACTAGCCCGGAAAGAATAAAAATTTTCTAATATAAATTGAATGTCATAGTAACATCATTCATGAGTAAATTGAGGAACTTAATGCAACTGTAGAGAGTGACAAACTCGATGTAACAGTTAGTAACTTGAGGTTAAAAAAAGAAATTTGGACGACTTGTATCGATGGAATATTAAATAAATTACTACAATTTTTGTTGAATTACTCATTTCTATGGTTCAGCTAAGTTAGTACAAGTAGCTTTCGAATAGTATCAATTCTTTATAAAAGGGGTAAAAATATTGCAAAAAAAAAATACTTTTATTTCTTCGAATTCATTTCTGCTCACTGAATACGAGAGTTGTTCTTGCTTACTATTTTATGCGTTTGATGATTGTATAGGTAAGCACGAGCAAAAACTTGTGCTGTTTTTCAATCTCGAAATTTTGACGGAAAAGTTTAAAAAAAAACAGGTTTCGAGAATCGTCACTTTCCATAATGCCTATATGAGAGTATTTTTTTTTGTCATTTTTTAAAACCAGGCATCTGTAAAGATAATATATACTCGAAGCTCTAACGGAACTAAGTCCTATTTCGTAGTCCAATAAAATACAAATACTATAGAGGCAAATAGTGTATCTGCATTTTTTCTTAAATTTCAAAATGTGATGTTTCTCGGTCAACTGCATGGCTAATTTTTTATGAAAGGTTAATATCGTTTATCATAGAAAAACATTAGAAAACGAAAAAAAAAGAGTTTCACAACATTGTACAAAAATCAAATGTTAACTTCTATAATAAAAAAAACGTGTAATTGTTCGATCTATGTTCAAAAAGTTTATTCAAGGTCAAATAATAAAAACTCGGCATTTATTTCTCCAATACTTTCAATCAATAGTTCGGCAGGAACCTGTTCGCAGTTGATAAATGCTCCATCACCTTCTTCCAAAATAATATCTTGTCCAATTCGAATTTTTGCACCACTCTTCTCTTCATTATTTTTATAAGGTGTTACATATCCACTGCGCATGATCAAATGAATGTATCCTTTTGTTTTGGCAAAGATATGTTTTACAGATTTATTTGGCTGTAAAATACTCGCAAACATTGATATTGGTGCATGAATTGCAATAGAAGTATTATTCGAATTTTCAATATCGTCGATTAATAGACAAAGCTTATTCAATTTCTCTTCATCTGACCATTTTTTTGTCACATATGATGGTTGTAGTTTTGATTTATTTGGCTTAACCCATATTTGAATAAAATGAACCCATAATGAATTGTTTTCATTATATTCTGAATGGCGAATACCTGTTCCAGCCGATGTAAATTGTATTTCACCACGATGTATAATCTCTGTATTACCCATAGAATCTTTGTGTTGAAGTTCTCCATCAACGATATATGAAAAGATTTCATATTCTTGATGAGAATGTGTGCCAAAACCTTTTTTTGGCTCAACACGATCTTCATTAAGAACATGTAAACAACCGAAACCATTTGGATAATGAGGATCATAGTAAGAATCAAATGACCAAGTGTGATATGAATGTAGCCAACCATGATCAGCAAGACCACGTTCGTTTGAATAACGTGGAGTAATTTTCAGTTTCGAAGGCATTACACAGTTGAAAGTAAGTAGGAGGAAAAGTATGATTTAGGTGGTACACAATACTCATATATATAGGAAATTATTGGAGTATAACCGTCACAGTGACATTGCAGAAAAAAAAAACATTCATAACCGTGACGTCAAAGAAAGAAGAAGCAAGTAGTTATCCTACGCTTGTTCTCTTTCGTTGCATGACGCTAAAGAGAAAAATATAATATAAGAACAGAAAATACTTGTTTTTTTTCTTTTACCTAGTGTAGAACACATGGTTTGTCGATGACGAATGTATGCGTCATTTCAAAATGACCTGGATGAATAATTCGGTGGTTTATTTAGTGTAAAATTTTTAAACAAAATAGTTAAGTTTTTGTACATCTTCACATCACTGTTTTTTTCGATTTAGGTTAAAAAATCGGCACATTATCGTGGTAATCTAGACTTTTAAGAAACATTGAGATTAAAATCTGAATTTCTTGCGATTGTACTGATAATAGCGACTATGCATATATGTGCAACAATTATTTAATCGTTTAAGACCTATCGAAATATCATCAATTAACTGGAAAAATAGTGTTTTTCAACTGACTGACAAGGTCTGATCTCATATTAGAATTTAAAGCTTCATAAGATAATAGTGCGAAACTTCAACTTGTTCCATACGTAAATGCGAGAGTGTGCTTTTTTGATGCTGTACAGTGAATTCAGTTTTGATTAAATCTAATCGAGCAACTCAATAGTCTGATCAAAATGGGCCAAACGACCGAAATTTCGTTTAGGCAAAATATTCTTTTAAAAATGAAACCTGTATACTAACAACATATTATTGGCAGGCTCTAAGAAGAAGTTGAAACCATTGTTCATATATTGATCAAGCCAGAAAACGAATGCATGATCGAAATCGTCGCAAATGTCAAGAAATATGTTGTTGTTCAACGGAAAACATTTCTTGGTAGAGAACCAATATGAATTCATTCTAAGAATAAAATCCGTTAGATCCCGACTACATTTGTATCATTTGTCGAATGGATCTTGATGAAGATCATCACAGATCGTATGCAATACATCATCGAAAGATCGAATTAGTCCATATAGCGATAAGATATCAGTATCCTCCATCTATTCTAATTTTGCTTCTTAACTGTTCTATTACAATTATTATGAAAGTGATCATGGCATGGCGAACATATTTGTCTTACAGTGGATCATAGCACTTTGAATATTGCCAATGGCATTTTAAAAGTCTGTAATCTAATCTCTTGTTTACATTGTTGACGAATGATCGATTGCTAAAAGAGCTCTTGATGAGAGCCTGCTTTTTCTCCATTTAGTGGAAAAGAGAAGCCCAAATTTATTATGCAGATCCTCACTAACGATAGTCAAATGTATCAGAATCTAATTGAGTTGGATCAAACGAAAAGATCTGTGTGAATCGATCCAGTAGCTGATGCATTTGTATCCTATAATGATTTCACATTGCGTTTGATGATAACCAAGTAAAGAAATGGTTATAGTCATTTTCGTTCTTTATATCAATAAGGAATATTTTCATCGCAGCAATCACTTGTATGGAGTGCATGACAGACGGATCAAAAAAAAAATGGCAATAATGATTCTACTAACAACTCTTGACTCTTTCCTCTCTCGTGTGCTGTGAGTTAGAAAAAAAGCAAGAATGTTGCAATTCAATTGAGTATGGTATGGATGTTCTCTTAATTCATCTACAATCACACCCGCATCATCGCAAATTGAAAACGTATATAAATCGACTCAGGTTTTTGTCTTAATTTCGAATGTCACTATTGTTTGAAATCAAATAGGGATTCTTCTGCTCGAAAACCGTCGAATATTAGTCAAAAAAATATGCATATTGACTCTAAAGTATAGCACGTAAAGTAAAAGTACTTGACTAGACATCGAATTTCAAGTTGAAAATGATGTCGTCAGAAAGAGCACATTGAAGTAAAAAGTCGACACAAAATCTCATTGGTGTATTTGAAAAGACTATAACTTTATAAGACTGAAAAATTCACTATTTTCTACAAAACGACTAGATTGGGACAGTATTCGACACTTATCGATAGGAAAAGAATGGAATGCTTCAGAAGTCTTTAAGAGTTCTTACAGAGAAAAAACATTCTGTAACATTTTCAGGTCAAAAACTCGTGTTCAAAGCTTTCATTCAACACTTCAGATCTTTCTTATTATCTGAGTATTTTTAAAAGAAATATGGTATTTTTAAACAGTGCACATATCACTATCGAACTATAAGAACTTGAAACAGAACAACGATAAAAAAATTTTTTCTGTCCAATGCTGTTTCTTAAGCTAATAAAATTAGATCCATATTCTTTGAAACAATTGGTTCGTAGTGTGACACATCTCGCTTAGGTTTACTATTTATTTGGAGGTAAAAATAGAAGCTCTTTCATGCAGAACGCAGGAAAAAAACAACAGAGACTTCGATTATGAAGAGCCATGAAGTCTCTGAAAATTCGTTGTTTCCTCTTTGACATAAACAAATACTATCAACATCACTATAAATTTCGAATTCTTACTTAAGTCAAGCCAACCAATTCTATTTGATTGTTTATAGAATATAAATTATTTTTCTAAATTAAACAACAGACGTAAGAAATATCGTCTTACATTTTCGAAGGTTTTAAAAGCACCCAATAGCAATTGAATGATATTTATCTTTTGTTTTTTTTTTTAAATTTATAATGCTGCTATTGCACCAGGAAATTTTCCGACAATACACTAATGATGTCATTGACAACGTGTAAAACTTTCAACATCATTAATCGATATTTGGTTAGCTGTTTGTTTTCCTTCTAATCAAATTACAAACTGTAGAAGAAAAAATCATTCTGTAAATTCTTACTAATAATTTTTCATATCATGATAACCTATCGAAAACTGTAGATCTTCTGCTTGAATATTTCTAAGATCTCACTCGATAAATATTTTTAAACTCTTACAAAGAAACAAATTTTTCTCTATGAGTCAGAATACACTGGAGACATCAGTGTTAGCCATCTTAGCTGTTTCGCTTAGTTTATGGATACGGTTATTTATTAAAGATGGTGCCATCCAAAAAAAAAGTCATTACTTAGAAGAATGAATAGATAAAGAAAAAAAAATTGCATTGTCATCTAACATTATACGTCGCGACATATTGAAATCGACGTTTTCATGATAGATAATACTAATGTAATAGAAAAAGTCAGTAGAAAATTGTTAAGAATAGAGTAAGCAGCTTGAATCAATTTTTTTCAACCCTGATTAACTATCTAGGATTGTTGGAGGGGAGGTGCGATTTTCCAAAAGGGAGGGGGAAGGGTGCGATTGTAGGCAAAAAGTGTAATTCCAGATGCGTTCGAGGTAGTACAGATTACAACTCTCTAGAATACAGTACATTGAGAAAAATGCAAACAAAATTTTTTTGTTTTATAAAGTCTTGATATTCAGATATGTATTTCTGCACAACTAGAAAAGAACAGAACGATGTCGCAAGATGACAATATAATCTTTTTTTTTCCTGTTCTCCCGTTCCCACTGTTTTCTATTGGTCAAATATTTTGACGTGAATAAAAAAAAAACCGATTAAAGAACGAACAAAAAAACAACAAACAATAAATAACATTTATTCGTTGTTTCTTTTTCGTCTTGTATATCCGTACAAATTCGATCATCTGTCATCGTTTAATATTTTTCTCTAGTCTAATAAAAACAAAAAAAAAAAAGACCTCGTTGAAACAACAATTCCATTCATTATGGATTTACCATCCATTAATTTAATAACATCAGCATCACTCAATGATGGTATAAATCTTCCTTAGAAATAAAAAAAACAAAACTTATCATTTATATTTACTTATGTTTTTTTAGTCGTACGTGAATTGCCAGTATTATCATTGGCTAATCCAGGTATGGAACGAATTGTTGATAGTAGTACAGCTGAATATACATCAATGTTACTCAATTGTCGCGATGGTTCATTAGCACAACAACTTGCACATAAACTTTCAATTGTTGCAAATACAGCTACATCAATGTAAATAGATAACAATATATATTATGAAAATAAACATTTTTTTTCTTCTTAGTACACTCCGTCATCCGTCAGATCCAACACCATTATCAATACATACATTACCTCCTCTTTTACAAACAACAATACAGTATAATCCAAATATTTTTAATGGTATGAATAATAATATACTATTTTTTTATTATTGAAATTGGTTTTTCTTTTTCTAGGAGTTTGTCATACTCCATCATCATTTTCACGTCCTTTTTCGTTAGTATATTAGAAATTTATTTCATTTTATAATTATTATTATTAAATTTAGATCACCCACTAATCCATATACTCATTATCCAAATCATCATTTTCCACAACAAATCAGTCCGAATAACAGTGGATATAATCCAACAACAGCATCATCAGTATCACGTAAGTCAAAAAGATAAAAATATTTAAGCGGGAAATTTTTTATTCAATTATTTCTAGCTTATGCTTCACGTGGTTTTATGCCAACAACAACAACAACAACACCAGCAATAAATCAAACACCTGATTGTCAACCAATACTTTATCCTCAAACATCACCACTTGCTACTCATCGTCCAACACGACCAACAGCTGTTGTACCACCTTTACCAAAAGATCCAATTATATCATCACCAATCGGTTCAATGACAACTGCATTATCAATGACACCATTATCATCATCATCATCATCTTCAAATAATTATCAACAAGTTTCACCACAAAAATCATCAAATAATGAATTAAATAATTATCAAAAACAGGTGAATAAATTTCAGTAATCTTTCTTCTATATTTAATCGATTGAAAATATAGTTCTTTTCTTTTTTGTGAGAAAAGTGAAGATAAAGAACATATATGTATGCGAATTTCTAATGTAAAAGTCTGTGTCCTTATAATTAATATATTGTTGAAAAATTCAAAATCATAATCCAGTTTTGTTATTGTTAACATATCAGATTGAATTTTTGATTTTAAAAAATTTCACCAAAAACTGATGGAAAAAAAATACTATTCTAAATCAGTAGTCTCTAGAATAAGATTAATTCAGGATTACTATATCCTCATAAAGTGAACTATTCTTAGAATTCTTTTACATACAGTCTAGATGAATATCTAATAACAAATAAAAGTAAACATTTACTTTGAAATCATATTTAAATAGATTGTTAAAATAAATAAAATCATTATCTATCGAACAACTAATACTAGAAAAGAAAAACATATTCACACGTGCTACTTAAATTTTTCTTTTTTTCTCGTTATATTTTTAAATATTATATCGTACAAAACCGTTAGGAAAACAAAAAAAAAAAAGAAAAACATGTAGAATATATTTTATATTTCTTTTGTATAGATCGATACATTACAATCACATGAACATATAAATAAAAATTCACAATCAATAACAAATAATAATAATAATAATGCAAATGAAAATATGACAAAAAAATCTAGTAAGTTATGAATATAATTTATAAATAGAAGTTTCTTAATTTTCTTTAATTAGGTCCAATTCTTAAACCAGAACCACCACAACAAATAGAAAAAATACGTATTAATCTTACCAAAATACAACATGAAGAACCAGGTATGTTGACATTATAGAATAATTATAATTTTCTAATACTGTTAGTCATAAACATAACATAATCTTCTATTCTGAAATAATCTCAAGATCAAATGATTATCCCTTTTTTTTTTGTTTTTGGTGAAACACGATATAAAAAGAATGTTTGAAAGTAGACAGAATAAAAATTTGGAATTTCATACAGATATTGATATACAATCGTATATGAATAACTTTCTTGAAGGATTAAATAAAAAGATGAGATAAAAAAAAAAATATGTCTTCAGATAGATAGAATAATAACAATCTGTCTGTGATTAACAATAGCACATACATCCTATTTTACATTTGATTCCCGTAGGAATTGTGCTGACAGCTTTTTTACTCATATTAATGATATATTTAACATAAGAAAGACAAATCATTCAAACTCTGATTATATATATAAGTTTAGTATCGTAATAGATAAGATTGTATTGATCGCTTGCTAAATGATTTACTTAATATTCTTTTAAACATCAGAGAACTTTCTTTTTTTTTTGCAAATAGATATGCGAAATCTAAGCGAATTATGTAGTAATCATTCGAATGTATTCTTACAATACAGTACCTTCTTTTTCAATGATATTCTAAAAGTTCACTGAGTTCTAATGTAAATAAATCTAACATTTTTAGAATTGATAATTCTCTTATATTCGTAAGAACAATGGAATTTGAAATATGTTTTTTTGTTTTTGAATATCAAACACAGTAAGTATATGTTTACGAGAAATTAAATATTTCATGAGTCCCTTTAAGGTATATGTGCAGTAGAGAAAGTAAAACGGGATTCGCATCAAGTAAAGTTTTCTTTTCTATTATTACGAGAAATTTTCATCTATAATAAACATTACTTATTAGTATAATGTTGATCTAATAAACATCTATCATAATAATAAGTGTGTGTGTTTTTTAAAGATTGCTTTAAAATTTTTGTATTAAAAAAAAAAAATTTCTAATCATTTTTATTTAGTATTAATTAAAACTGCATCACCTTCAAAACAACGTTCAATTAAACCAAACATTCCACAACAATTAAATCATTTACCAGCTGATTTTACACCAGATTTAATTAAAGAATTATTACAAGATGGTTATTCACTTGATAATAATTCAGGTGAACGTTCACTTCGACAACGTCGTTCAGCAAATAGTAATACAACATCATTAAATAATTCACCAAAGAAAAAACGTATTCGAAGTTTATCAACAGAAGATGATGATGATGATAATAATAATAATGAACATGATGATGATAATAATATCAATGATATTGATAATGATGAAGAACAACAACCATTAAAAAAACGTATACGTCGTACAAATGATAATTCAATTAATCATAATTCAATTGATGTTATGAGTGCATTAAATAAAAAAACACGAGATCGTTTAGCACGTAAAGCATTAGATATTGATGCTGATCCACAAGAAAATACATCATATCAACGTTTTATACAATTATTAGATATATTTAATGATGATTATGAACGTCATCATGAACAATTTGAACAAACACCTGATGATCATTATCTTGATTTATTATTATCTGATCATACATTAGATGAAATGGCAATATTATCTGAAAAATTAAAACTTTCAACATATATGTCACGTATTGATCGTATGAAATTAAAACGTTTATTAGAAATATTATCATTACGTATAAAACAAGGTATTGAAATAAGTCCTATACTTAAACATGATATTAATGATGAACAAATTAATGAAGAAGAAGAACGTATATGGAGAGATATAGTATTTGAACGTTTAACAATGTGTGCTAATGCTTGTGAAATAAGTTTAAATATTATGACAACAGATAATATGCCAAAAGAAATTCTTATTGAACATGTTATTGAACATACAGCTTTATTTATTAAAGCACAATTAGCTAAAACAATATTTCCTGAATATGATCCATTATATAGAAATGATAATCATTCAAAAGGTATAAAAAATAAATTAATGAAATATCATTGAAAATTATTTTTTTTTGTTTTGTTTTAAGATCCTTCATTAACGAAACAAAAACGTTCAAAAGTTACAGGAACTAAATGCAAACAAGTTCAAATACTTTATAATAAAATTGTTTCACTTTTTCAAGGAATTACAGATTTAATGCCATTAGGAAAATATACAGATACAATTATTCTTGCTGTAAGTTTGGTTTTTTTTTATTATAATCAAAGATTTCTAGAGTACGACTTTTACTATCAAAGTTCTATTACGCATATTTGACATTTCAATAGGGGCCGCCACCTACTGATATTTCAATAGGACGCAAAGAATTTAATAATACTTGCAGGATTAGTTAGAGAATATTATTCTCTACAAGCCTATGAGAAGAATGTGGCGCTAAAGCTCGGTTTAATTTGAATTGACTACCAATTTAAGCAAATTCCGGAAGTCATAGAAAGAATTTCTAAAAGCTAAGAACCCAGGTCGACGAATACGGAGGCCATATACGAGCGTAATACGGCCTCATGTAAATCGTTGTATTTGTCCGTATACAGTCGTTTACGACTGTGCTTGTTTGACCTGAGAATGCAACTCGTCACATTTCTACATATTCGAATTCTTTTTCTTTCTTAAATTATAATGAAATATCAATTTTTATCTAAATAGAAGATCATTTGAAACCCAAAAGGAAATTTTCAATAGGATATCGTCTCGTTCATCTTCAATGATAAATTCTTAACTCTAAATTTATTCATATTTCTTTTTAAGATTTCTTCATTCACTGTTAGTTGTATTTATGTTGAAAATATTGTTGATATTCAAGCACATTCATTACGTATTCTTACTGAATTATTTTCTCGTTATGAACATCATCGTGATTCAATACTTGAAGATCTTCTTTTATCAATAGCACGTTTACCAACAAGTAAAAAAAGTCTTCGTTGTTATCGTTTACCATCAGGTGAATCTATACAAATGTTTACAGCATTAATTATGAATTTAATTCATGCACCTGTATCATTAGGATCAATAATAAATTTAAATATAATTGATACAACAAATGAATTATATTTATTAAATACATATACAACAGCACAAAATTTAGCATTTAAATTTTTAACATTATTTTTTCGTTCATGTGGAACAAAACAAGGTGAAGATGATTATCGTATTGTATTTGAAAATTTTTTAGCTGATTTACTTGTTACGGCTAATCGACCTGAATGGCCAGCATCAGAAATTCTTTTAACATTATTATCACGTATATTAATGACAAATTTTTCCAATCATTCATTACCAATCAATACACGTTTACAATCATTAGATTATTTAGGTTCAGTTGCAGCACAATTAAGAAAAGATACAATTGATAATGATGTTTTAAATTCAAAAGAAAATCAAGATAAACTTGATCAAATTGTTTATAAAGTAAAATTGTTGTTGTTGTTTTTTTATAATTGAATAAAAAATAAAATTATCTATTTTTGAAATAGACTTTATCAAGTATTGAATTGGATGAAGATGTTATGGAAGTTTATAAAACTGATCCATTACGTTATCATCGTAGTTTAGTTATTTATCTTAATGAATTAAGTTTAAGTGATCAAACAAGTCATGTAAGTTTCAATATAAAGAATTTTCTTATTTTGAATAAAATCAACAATTAATGTACTTTTTTTTGTCTTAAGTCAGAGATATCTAAATATGTTAAATTTCTTTTTATATATTTTTAGAGTATAGCTCTTCTATTCATAATATCTCTGAAAAAATATAAAAGTTTCTTTTTTTTTTATCTGATCACATGTATTAGAGATTTTCAAATGAGTAAGAGAGATGTTGCTACGATTGAAACTACGAGAAAAATATTGTCCGATTAGAAAACTGAAGATTATAGTTAAACGTTATAGAATACAATCAAATCAAAAATCGAAAGATTTTGTTTAGATGTACTACAAATAAAGTCTGTAATAGTTATCTTTAGACTTGGTCGTGCATATCTCTAAATTCGATTCAAAAGTGATGAATCGAATTTAAGTATTTTCATTGTTAGATCTAGATACGATACATTTTTAATTTTTCAAAAGATTAAAGAACTTTTCATATAATTTTAGTATGCAAAAATGTTTCATATTGGTCAATGGCTTCGTGATATAAATTTAACAGTAGAACGTTTAACTCAAACATTAACAAGACGAATGAAATCTGGTCAAACAGAATTAGTTGATGATGATGTTGATGAATCAATGAATAATAATAATAATAATTCTAAACCTTCAATATCAATTGAAGATGAAATTGAAATGAAAAAAACTGAAAAATTTTCTATACTTAAAATGCTTTCAATGCCTGAAACAGCACGTAAACAACAACGATATACATTAGATATTGAATATGATGATATATGTTTATTAATGCGTTATTTAACATCAAATAGACCATTTTTAAAAACATTTGATGTTTATCTTAAACAATTAGCAGCTATATTTCAATCCGAAGCTGGAACAAATATTCGTAGTAAAGCAATGAAATGTTTATGTACAGTTGTTGAAGCTGATCCAACTATTTTAGCACGTAATGATATTAAATCATGTGTTAAAGTTGGTTTAACAGATAAAAGTATTAGTGTACGTGAAGCAGCTATTGATCTTATTGGAAGATATATTGTACAAAAACAAGAACTTATTTTACAATATTATGATGTTCTTTGTGAAAGAAGTATTGATACAGGTAAAATCAAATATAAGAACATATGAATGTATACATTATTACTTTTCCGATAAAAGAAATTTTCTTCAAATCAAAGTCTTACGAGGAAACATTTTCAGGTGCTAAAAAGCTTTTCAACCGGGGATGTGATAACTAGATAGGGCATAGCTAGCAGTGATACACCCTAAGTTAGTTCGCGCCCAAGTTGAGATTTGGCTGAGATATCGACTTTTTACTAGAATTTGCCTATGGGACCCCATCTTTCCCATGAAATCAAAGTTTTGAATTTTGAGGTGAGACTTTGCCCATATCAAGGCCTCGGCTAGGGTAGTTCATCCACAAAGTTTCAGAATTTTCAAGCTAAGCATTCCCGAGATTTGAGTCTGTTAGTATAAACACAGTTTTTTACGGATATTGCTGTATGCATGGATATTTTGAAAATATTATATCTCGGGAATGCTTAGCTTGAAAATTCTGAAACTTTGTGGATGAACTACCCTAGCTGAGGCCTTGATATGGGCAAAGTCTCACCTCAAAATTCAAAACTTTGATTTCATGGGAAAGATGGGGTCCCATAGGCAAATTCTAGTAAAAAGTCGATATCTCAGCCAAATCTCAACTTGGGCGCGAACTAACTTAGGGTGTATCACTGCTAGCTATGCCCTATCTAGTTATCACATCCCCGGTTGAAAAGCTTTTTAGCACCTGAAAATGTTCCCTCGTTAGTTAGAGAGAGAATTTATAGGCAATTCAATCAAGTTACAACTTATTTTCATATTCTCTTGAAAGAGATCACTAATAAAACTAAATCATTTTTTTTTTTTAATTATTATATCATAGGTGTAAGTGTACGAAAACGTGTTGTTAAAATTTTTCGTGATGTTTGTTTAAATCAACCAAGTTTTAATCGTATACCTGATATATGTTCACGTTTATTACGACGTATTCATGATGAAGAATCTATACGTAAATTAGTTCTTGAAACATTTCAACAATTATGGTTTTCTCCAATACGTAATCAACAAGATGTACGACAACGTGTTCAAACAATAATTGATGTATTAGTTGATGCCCAAAAACAAAATTATACATGGTTAGAAAATTTAGTTAAAGAATTTCTTCAAACAAATGATAAACAATCAATTGATGATAAGAAAAAAGTTCGAGAACAACGTAAAGATGTTTTAAAAGCTATACAAGATATTATTAATGAATTAGTTGAATCAATACTTAAAATTGAATCAGCCAATGATCAAGTTCGTAAACACACACAAAAAAGTCAAAATTGACTTTGTTTTGTTTCTTGTTTAGGTTTCATCAAATAAAATGGTTGCAACATTTATAGCACTTTATGCATTAGGTAAAGCTAAACCTGAACATGTTTTACCACATGTATCAACTATAGTTGAATATTTAAATATAAAATGTACATCATATAATGATAATATTATTGTTCAATATGTTGCAAAAATACTTGAATTTACAGTTCCATTAATGAAATCAGCATCAGCAAGTATTATTTATTCATTAGAAGGAAGTTTAACAAAACTCCTTCTTGTTAGTGGTCAATTAGTTATACATTCAAGTATAGCTTGTTTATCAGCTGTTATTCGTTTATCAAAAAATACTCAACTTGTTAAAGATGTTTTTATACGATATCATTGTAAGTAAAATGATATAAATTATAAACACAAAAAAAAAAAAAATCGAAATCATTGTTATTTTGTTTTTTTTATTTAGCTATTGTTGTTCAATGTCAACAAAAAATTTTAGAAAAACCTAATGAAGAATTTAAAGGAAGTGCACAATTAGCTCGATCAATTTATATTTTAGGAGTTTTATGTAAATATTTTGATGTAGAAAAAAATGAATTTGATGATCTTGAGGTAAATAATTTATTTTTTTATTAAATTTTTAAATCATTCATTAATAGATCAAACATTGACTGAATGATTATTTGAATTAAACTAAATAATTAAATATGAAGATTTTTGAGATTGCTAAGAACTATATTAGATTAAAAGAAAAAATTTCTTCATCTATTATTGCAGACTTATTACGGATAAAAACCTTGTTATGAAATAAAAATTTATTTTTCTACTTCTGTGCACCCCCGCTCAAAATGTTTCTGGCTACGCTCATAGTTCAAACTTTTCTTAAAATATTCAAAACTCAGTGGGATCTACATGATGCAAGATTGAGAACTTCTCTTGTTCGAAAGGATCGAAGTCCTTAGTAGCTCATTTTTTGGTTATGCTACTATGTAAAATCTTTGTGATAATGCACAATGAAAAGAAGCTACGTCCTTTTTCAGTTTATTGACAATTAACTTAGTATAACTAATTTACATTGAAGCATATCATTTTTGCACTACTTTTATTGATCATATAAAATTCTAATATTTTATAGTTTTCTGTGGATGATCTCTTTCAATTATTTATATTTCTTGTTCAACGACCTGAATCAGTTGTTAAATTAAAATCTCTTGTTGGTCTTGGTTTTTTTTTACAACGTTATGGACAATATCTTATACGTGATACAGTTCGTCAATTATATCATACATATTTACTTGATCGTCGTCCAGAAGCTGCACAATTACGTTGTCAAGTTTTAATAAATTTAGAAGAATATTTTCGTGATTGTATACGTCGTATGGCTGAACAAGATGTTGATTATCTTCATATAACATCAACAGTAAATTCAACAACAACAACAACAACAACAACAACAACAACACATGATGATGAAAATAGCAATGATGCTAGTGGTCCAACAGGTGCTAGTCTTAAAGATACAACTGATGTACATTCAGAAATGGCTAGTTCAATAGCACAATGTTATTTACGTATTGTATTAGATACATATTTAAGTGAAGATGAAACAATTCGACAATGTGTACGAAAAGTTGTAACATGTATATTAGAACAAGGTCTTGTACATCCTGTACAATTTATTCCATATCTTATTGCAATGACAACTGATCGTGATACAACAATACAACAAAGTGCTGAACAAAATTTACAAGATTTAGATAAAACAAATCCAGGTATTATACAAACAAAAGTTATGCATGGATTTAAAATGAGTTATCAATTACAAAAATTACTTGCTATAGCAAATAATAATAAAAATAATAATCAACAATTAAATTTACAATTTGATATTATTAGAGGTAAGAAGTGATAAATTTTGAAAATTTTCTAAATAAGAACTTAATATTTTTCTCATGAGACATTCTCTAGAATTTTCAAGAAAAAGATTTCTTTAGATATACAGATGAATGACACATAAAATTAATCTCGAAAATATTCTCGTTAAGATTCGAATTCAGCTGCTTGCAGAAATTATGTTTGTGAAACTCATTGAATATTTTTCTTATTAATTTCTAACTGAAAGTGTGTGATTGACACTCAAGGAGATCTGACGACGTTGAGCTCCGCTCGGAAAATGCAGAATAGTTTTTATCAATTACTTGTATTCTACTACTAATACAGCCTACACATTTCTCACAAACATTCAATCTTGACAATGATCTTATAATAATTGAGTCATAATTGGTATTTACTTTTAGAGTATAGCTCGATGGATTTTACGCGAAGATGCTAAGATTGCCGGAATGTATAAGAAAATATCTCATACGGATCATAAAAATTCAAAAAATCTTGTTAGGAAAATAGAGAATAGCTTACAATAATTGAAGGGTGGAAACATAGGTGAGCATACTCTACTTAATGATGTAAAAGTTTTTGTTACCAATAGAAAAGATTGGTATCGATGACATCATCACTTTGTGATAATATTAAGCCATCTGACAGACAAGTCCAATAGAGAGTCTGAATGTATTTATCGTCTTGTACGGATCATTGAAGAAATCACTTAAAGTGACTGAGAGACTTTTGAGAAAAAATATAGAAGCTTTTTTTAAACAAATTTTTGCAATGGCTAAGCTCAGTTAAACAGAGCTTTTCAAAAACTCTTGGTTTTTCCATAGATTTTTTTAATTCAGACTTCAAAACATTTCTATTAAAAATCAATCTTACATTTGGAACCAGTGCATGAAACTATATTAGATGATGTACGGCACAAGATACTTTCTGGACAAAAAAAAATGTAACCAAGGATTCCTTTCAGGTGTTTTCCGCTGAAAAATTCTTTTTTTTTCCAAAATCCATTAGAAAGTCACATATCCTTCTACTATGAGAAAAATGCGCAATGTAGACGAGATTCAATGCCATTTTCGTGACTCTTGAATAATAGTTTGGAATTCCGAGAATATTATCATTCTAATGATTCATACATAGAATCAAATAGTTCATGTTTTTTATTTGTGTTGGATACAAAGCATTGCATAGATGAATTCAAGATGTGAAAAATTTTTCATGTATTTAGGCATGACAAAAGTAGCAGTAGCTCCCACAAATAATCAACAATCACCATATTGTTCAGTAAATCATTTTCTTTATTCATTAATTCGTTCATCACGTGTTTATCGTCGTGGTTTAATATCTCAATTATTAAAAATGTTTGATAATGATACAACAACAACAACATCAACAACACTTGAAGAACAATTATTTGTTGCTGATAATTTAGCTTATTTTCCATATCAAGTACAAGATGAACCATTATATTTAATTGAACAAATTGATTTAACAGTTAGTGTTAGTGGTTCAACACAATTACAACAATTTCGTGATTTATTAAAACAATATTTAGATTATATTGATGATGATGAAGGTATTGATATAAATAAATTAGAAGATAAATTTTTAAATTTATCTGATACAATTATTGATGAATTAAATCAATGTTTACGTACATCAAAATCTACTATGTTATTATTATTATTAAAATCTTATCTTAAAGATGTTTATAGTTTAAATGATACAAAAATAACTGAATATGATCATACTGAAAGTAGTAAAATAACAGATCGACCTATAATATCACGTAAAGTAAATGTTAAATTTGAACCAAAAATAATTCTTGATACAATAAAACCATCAAATCATATCGATAATATTCAACGACGTAAACAAATTTTAAAAGATTTTGCTGATTTTAAACGTTATTTACTTGCATTTGATACAGATACAGATGATACAGTACAAACTATATCAGAATTATTACCAACAACATCATTAACATCAAAAACTAAGAAAAAACCTGGTGGAACAAATAAACGACGAAAAGTTATGATCGATTCAGATGATGACAGTGCCGATGGCAATTTTCAGCCATAGTCTATCTTTTCTCTTTTGTTTTATATAATATATATTATGTATGTTTTTTTTTTATATGATGACCTTTGTTTATTCTCATGTCCACTACAATGTAAAAATACCTGTGTGTGTGTCTTGTTGAAATTTTTCTTCTTTTCGTATATAACTAATACTGTACAGCGAAGCAGAACAACAAAAAAAAACATAGGAATTTTCTTTTTCGAAGAACGATGGTGGAACTGAAGATTTTGATTATTAGTAATGTCTCGGTTTTTTTTGTTTGTTTTTGCAAAAAAAAAAAAAAGAAAATTAAATAAAAGTCAAGTGTTGTCTTAGGTAAAATTAATTAGTAATATCATTTCTTTTCTGGTGGAAAATAAGACGGCGATGATATTTTTTTCATCTGGTAGACATCAGTGTTAAAGTTTCATACATGATGAGCGCTTCTAGATTAAGTAAAGCATAAATCTCGTTAAAGTTTGCTTTCGGTCATCTTTGATGTGATTGACTTCGTTCAAAATTCAGTGTTTAATCATGTCAAAAAGAAAAGTCTAGGGAGTACAAGGATGATTTGTCTCAATGAAATAATCCAATCATAATTTATATCTATTTGTCAACTATGAAGCGATCCAATTAATTAAATTTGCAACATGTATTTCAATAGCTATAAAAATTATTGGAAATATTACTAATTGGTAAACTTTCATTTTTGATCTCGAACAGTATGATAATCTTCTTGTTCGAATAAAAAGTTAGTTTATTCGAGCTATACAACTTGTGAAAGTATTCGTATACTAATGAAAATGACATTGTGCCTTTCTTTTAATTCATACTGCAGCTCGAGACTTCTGAAAATGGGAAAATACTTTGAAATGACTAGTGAAATTTAGTGTTCACTGGAGAAGAGCAGCTCTGATATCCTCAAAAATAGAAACAACTTTTATTGAATTTCTTTTTTTTTAATCTTCACTGTTGCCGTGCAAATCCGATTAGTTTATGAATTATCATCTGTTATTTTGTATATTTGAAACTCAACTAGTCGGAGGGTGTGGGTGAGAGTGGGATGTGAATGTGGCCGTATGTGCTCTTCACTCACACCCACACCCACTAAAAATTGACAGCACGGATCTGTAGAATTAATATCAAGTCACTTTGTAAAAGAGAATGACTAGCTAATATTTTATACTCACATCGAGCAACAATAAACACTCTTATTATTCATTGTCTGTAGATCAAGAAATTAAATTGATTAATATGACTTATGAGCGAGATTGAATACATGTTAGATAATTATATTCGGAATGAATCTTATGAAACAATCAAGTGACTATCCAAATTATAATTTAAACACAGATGTAGAAAAAGAATTTACAAAGGTCTGCATTTGAAGAAGTCTTTTTTTATTCAAAATGCGAACACATGGTTTCGAATCATGTTCCGCTAGATACTTCGTTTTTGGTATAAAATACGTTTTTTTTTTCATAGAAGTGTCTTCTATTTGTTTATCCATAAATTATTTTATCATATTTGCAGCATTGTATCATAGGTTTCTTAATAATTTGTTTGTTGGAAATTCTTAAGTTTTCATTGGAAAATATATTTTAGTCAATATAACAAAAGTGGAAGTATAGTTTACTTAAAAATCGTTGAACCATAACAAATCATTTGAGTATGTCCTCTGTATCTCTCATTTTTTGCAATATTGACTACAATAAATCCTTCCCAAAATCTTTAGAATTTGCACGAAAGAAGTTAGTAAGAAAAACAAACGAATTTACAGAAGAAGAAAACAAAATTATAATTTTTGTTTATCACCTAAAGTGTAAATCGAAACGATGTATTTACCTTTGGTCATGATAAGAGAATAGATGTCATTGGAATTAGATAATTTGAAGACGATTATGAAACAAAAACTCTGATATATCCTCTTGTTAGTTGATTTCAATTCGTCATCTTCTTATCTAAGAATATATAATCTGATATTTCTAATTAAACATGTACATCTCTTTACAAAGTATTAAATAAATAGATTATCAAAATATTTCAACTTTTATTGATAATAAAGTAAATAATGCTCTTTGACAATTCATACAAGAAGTCAATGATGAAAAATATACGTTGAACGGAAATTTGAATGAGATACGATGATGACTATAAATAAGCATCCACTACTTTTCTATTTAGAAAAATAATTTCTTTTAATGATTCAATAATATAATAAAATGAATCTACGTTTCTAACAATGGATATTACTAGAAATTCAATGAAGAATTTTCGAAAGTGTTGTATGACTGATCGTTGCATGGACAAACTCAATTTAATTTTCATAGCGCTGTCAAGTTTAATATACTTTTTTGTGAACAAAACTAAAGGAAAAAATTTGTGTTTATATAGAAAAACAGAAGAAGAAAAAGTTAGCCACTGATATCGTTGGATATTTGTCGATGACGAATGTAAAACCAAGCAAACTGTTTAGAGTATAACATTGACATATAAAACTTTTCTGTTAAAAACAAAAGTAAAGCCATAAGAATTAAAATCATGATTAATCCATGCACTGGTGCGTCATCATCATTTAATGCGATCTTTATAAAAAGAGGAAAATCATTTAAAGTAGTGGAAATGTTATAACGTTGACCGCCTTTATAAATTTGTTTCGTATAGTAATGTTGCCAGACTAAGTTCTGTTTATCAATTTTAGGTAAATAAACTAAACGTGATGTGGCTTGATATGTATAAACAGGAGCAACTAAATAATCTGATCCAAACATATATTGATCTTCAGATTTATAACATTCAATATCATCGTTAAAGTCATAAAACATTGGTCGTAATAGAGGTGTTCCATTTTGACTTGAAATATTCAAATGATATTCAACATAACCACGTAAAGATTCGCGCAGTTGAATTATTTCAATAATTTGTCTACTATAATTAAATAACCATACTTCATTATGACCACCAGAAAACCCACATTCATTGTCCGGCAAAGGTGGATAACGATAACCATGTAAACGAAATAGAGGACAGAATGCTCCAAATTGAAACCATCTCAATATTAGTTCTTGAAATTCATTATCGTCTAAACCAACAGGTTGATAACCACCAATATCTGTTGTCCACCAATAAATTCCAGATAAAGCAACATTTTGTGCTACTTTAATCTGTTTTAATAATTCTTCCCATGACGAATTAATATCACCGCTCCACACAGCTACATTCATCAAATGACTACCTATCCATGCTTGTCTACTGAGCATAATTATTTCTTCTTCCTTTTCTTCTCTTAGTCCATCCCAAAATGTCCGTTGATGTTCTCTTGCCCATACCATTGCAATTTCATCATCATGTCGACCATACCACCATTGTAAGCCAGGTTGAGTATATTGCGGTTCATCAGCATCTAACCAATAAATTTTGATATCGTAAGCAAAATAATTCTTTTTTATTTTATTCCATATGTATTGTCGTGTAGCTGGATTAAATTGATCGGAAATATAAAAAGAAACATTATTAATTAGTTCCGTTGTTGCTAAAACACTTCCGTTAGCATCATGAGTCAATAAACCTGTTCTATTCATAGTCATGAAATTTTCAGAGTCTTCTGCTACATGGGGCCAAACAGATACCATTAACTTCATTCCGTACGATTTTAATTCATTTATCATTTGTGGTATATCTGGCCAACATGTGCTATTAAATTTCCAATCGCCAAGTGCTGACCAATGAAAGTAATCGATGACAATAATGCTTACTGGTATTTGACGATCATAATAACCTTTTGCTACGTCCAATAATTCTTTTTGAGTGCGATAGCGATTTTTACAATGCCAAAAACCCGACGCAAAATTTGGTAACGGATTTGGATGACCAACAACATCAACATAATTTTTCATAATAATAGGATAGAATGATGGAGAGATAGTTTTTTCTTTAGGTATTGTCGTAATCCATAAATCAAGTTGATGTGTAGCATTTGCACTCCACATTATTTCTTTATCATTTTGAACATCAAACGAACCATAACCTGGCTGATTCCAAAGAAATCCAAAACCTGATGTATGTATGTACCATGGAATTGTTACATCACCATTTGCTGGTGCAGTTGATGAAAAAACAAATGGTAAATTGAAATTATGATATGGCAGTGTTAGATTGCTACCATAATGATGTTGTCCTAAACCATATAGATATCCATTTTGAGCATGAGTATAAATCAATGATAATTTATAAAGAGTATAAATAGGCGAATAAGCGGAGACTGGATAATTATATGGCAAAAATGTGATTGACTGTACTTGAATGAGAATGAGTCTATCTGATTGACGTTCAATTAACCATGATTCATTATCGTCACTTATGCTAAATTTAATATTACCATTAATAAATGTATTTCTATTTAGCTGTTGACAATCTTCTTTATCAACGATTGGTTTTTCTGGAAGTAATGCTTGGTAGTCTGGTGTCTGTATAATTACGTCTGGACTAAGACGTATTCGAATACTATCATAACCCCATGACTCTACTTGTAATTGTTGTTTTAGACCATTCGAATATATATTTGTAGTAAATATACAGAGTGATGCATCACCATATGAAATCAACTGAAGGATAAGCAGAATAATAAGTTGATAATAATATTTATAGATGATCAATATCAACATTGTGAATTGATTGTACTAAATAAAAAGAGTAAAAAAGACGCGGTTAAATAAAAGCTTCTATTAATAATAAAGAACGAGAAAAAAGATACAGATCACTAGCCTTTTACGTATCGGGCGCGTTATGATCATTTTTTTTTATCATTCATTCTCTTCTTTCTCATCCAGTCTCATGGACTGAAACGTGTGTAAACGAACGAAAAAGAAAAAAGTGGTCGTTTTCACTCATAATCGGGAGCAACAATTGTGAGCAAAAACGACCAGCTTTTATTTTTCTCTCTCCATTTACATGCGTTTTCAGCAGTTTGTGACTGCCTGCGTTCTCGATACTTCTCTCTCTTTTATTCTCTATTCATTTAT